CAGGAACACTGGAGTGGGTTGCCATTTCCTTCTCCAGTGCAGGAAAGTGAAAAATGAAAGTGAAGTTGCTCAGTCGTGTCCGACTCTTCGCAACCCCATGGACCACAGCCTACCAGGCTCCTCCATCCATGGGATTTTCCAGGCAAGAGTACTGGAGTGGGGTGCCATTGCCTTCTCCACTTTTGTTCATATATGTGATTAAAATAACTTTCTTTCAAAGGGATCAGAAAACAGCAAAGGATACTGGTTACCAAGTCATTCAACTTCCGAGTCACATATAATGTTGGGCCCTTTGCTAATATCATTTTGCTTCATTCCCACCACAGTCCTATCAGGTATTATTCCTTAATCAGTAGAGAAACCGAGATTCAAGAGAACATTAAGAAGCTTGTACAAAGCAAAGTCACAGAGGAAGCAAGTGGCAGAGCCAAGAGTCAGTGGGAGACTGATTCAGCTCTGAAGTCTATGCTCAACTCTGGGCTACACCCCTTCCATAGCAGATTTTCTTTTTAGAGGAACCACTCACAACAGAAGTAAAGCTTATTTTCATTTCTATTTCTCTGGCCTGGAGTAAGAATTCCTGCAGAGCCCATATTTTTTTTTAATATAACTTTGTTTTCTCAATTCCTGTTAGAGCAACAGTATCAACAAATCATTGCTAAATGAAAAGGGGCTTTTAAGTTCATCACCACTGTGTCTAAGAGTGCCAGGACACATTACTCTAACTCTGCTTATATATAAAAAGAACCAAATTTAGAACAAGCTTGAGATGGATACATAAACCTTTCCATGGCCAGTTTTATTATGTTCATTGTGGAATGACTAGACTCACACATCAATCGAGCTGACCTGTGGCTATTATGTAATTATTCCAGAAACATAGTTTTATGTTAAGCCAATTCATGAAGACAGAAACACTCTGCAGCTAACAACCTGTATTCCTTGTCTGGTACTATTTTCCCCCTCAAATAGGTAGAAACACTAAATCTGTAACTTTTGAATTGAGACAATAACTTTTCTGGTCTACTGCTTTTGAAAAAAGATTATGAGACAAAACACAAAGAAAGACAGACATCATAAAATAACCTTTATACAGGATTAGTAGATCTGTTTACATATAAAAAACAGAAAGGACCTCATTACAGTTAGATTTCACATAAATTACACAGATTGACTTTTTTAAACTACGATTCATCTTCATTTAAAGTCCCTTTTAAAAATTTCGTTTTGAAGGCACAGTGCATGATAATAAACCAAAGACTGAAGCACTTGAGATGAAGGAGTCTTGGGCACCTTATGTAAATAGCTATAGATTGTTCTGGAACTGGGGAATGTCACTCTGAAAAAGTGGAGAGGTGAAAAGTTGATTTTTAATCTGAGAGTAGAAAAATACCACTATGTCATACCTCCAGAAAATCTGCAGCATGGCCAGCAGAGAATGTAGCTTGTACACTCATGTTATGCCATTTGTAGAAGCCAGAGTCACACACATTTATAGAATTTATATCCAACTGCCTCAAAATGGTAGCCTGTTTTCATATTTCACAATAGATTCTGCCAAATCAAAATCAACTAGGATAATATTCTGAAAGTCAAGTGAAATATTCATGAATTATTGCTAAAAACAGGAGAATTGGGTATTGGGAAATATTTCTTCCTGAACTGGAAATCCAAATTTAGCTGACATTAATCACACCCCCCAAATCTGCTTTAATTACAACAAATCAGAAATGCAAATACTTATCAAAAATTTGCTAGCTAGAAAATCACTGAATATCTACCGTAGTGGAATTTTTTAGTAACATTAAAGTTGCTACTGTTAAAAATGATTCTGCTCGAGAACCATAACGTAGGGCACTGTGATGGCATTTGCAGCCAAGAAGCTTTTAATACAGCAAGGACAAAACCTGGCACAAGTGCATTTCTGGCCAAAGGAAAATAAAATGATTTACTGCTGAGAATAAATGGAAATAGAAGAACAGGTCATGGTTATACTGAGTAACCTGGTGTTAGCTCAGAAACACAGTAAGCTCAGTCATCAGCACTACCTTTTATTTATTTGCCAACTCATAGTTAGTTTTACGTTCAATACTCATTAATTCAGCAAATCTCATTCAGGTGAAACTTACCAAAGGTTAACCAGTCAATCACACTGGGACAAATATACATTCTGTTTCCTTTCTGGAGGATGACAAAGTCCCAAAGCACATTCCCTCCAGAGAGAATTGTAAGCATTCCTCAACTGGATGGGGTCCCAACCACTACTCAAATGTTCAGCAAAATACATCAAAACCAAAGGGCCTTTCCTTCTGAAATTAACTTGAATTCTTCTTGTTGAACTGTATAATCAGTACAAGTGCATTTACACAGGCAGACACTTTGAACATGACCTACTCAATCACTTTGCTTTTATTAAGGAGTTGCGAGGGAAGAAGGCTTACACACTGATCACCAGGACAGAAAATAAAAAAACGCCTTGTGAGTTAAAAAAAGGCACAACTCAGGTTTGGGGCAAATTTCTTAATACTGTGATACTTACTTGCCTCCATGACTCCAGGGAAATGGAAAGTTTCTAGGAGAAATACTGAAGAAATGCATTCCCCATGCCATATGGCTTCAATGCCTTAAGCAGTTCATGTGGTCTAATACTACATTCGGTCCACAAATAAAAAACCAAGCAGGGCAGAGCACACAGTCCTAGTAGTCATGATTCTGTACGTTCATGTTAACAGGTAACAGGCTGAGAAGGCCTTGTTTTCCAGAGCAATGCATCATTTAGAAATTCATTAGAGATTCAAGATTTATAGCAGAATTTGGTTTTCCTATCAGGAAACATTATTAAAAGAACTATTTGTATGTTCATCTCTAAAAATATTTTACACATGCTGAAAAGGCATGGACTCCAGTCACTGTGATGTACAGTGAAAGATATGTTTCATTCAAGAGAGAAATGAATTTAAAAGGCATCCTCTAGTGAAGACCAATGTTAATAAAGTTGAAGGTTGTCTCGTCAACTTTGTTTCACTTCTACCTGCAATTGTCCCAAGTGGAACCAGCCACTCACAGGCCCTTTGTGGGTTTTCTGACTTTGCACTCTTAAAAATAAATCTGAAAAGAGCAATGTGACCACATCATCCCCTTAAGGAAAATGTAAAGTATTATCAGAAGAAACTAAATCATGTATATTTCATTAAGTTTCAGAATCTCATGACCTCTGTTCTGTGCATGTGGTGAGCTGAGAGTAGGGTGGCAGGGGCTCAAAACTGAGAGTTGTGTTGAAAACAGAATTAATACCAGAAGGGCTTAACCCTGAACCACACAAACTAGACTACAGCTACTCAGTAATAAATGTCATGACTTCATCATTCCTGCTAAACCAGATCTCTTTGCGTAAAGCTACTTTGGGTACATTTCTCAGGAAACTGGGTTGAATGACCTAGGTGGGTGGTAAACCACTCCATGTGAAAGCTTTGGGATGACTGATACATGAATGGATACAGAATTCAACTTGAAAAGATGAGAGCAAGTTTTTTGATCCCCTGATTTAGTAGAAGTTCAGCAGCAACTTGGCCGGTAAAACATTCCAAGGCATTAAACTGTTAGATCATTGGTAAGACTCATACTCACAAAAAAGCAGAATTTCCGTTGAATAGCATAGTATCACAGACACAGTAAAATGCAAATCTTTTAGGCGTTTGCAATAACTTCAGTGGCACTGAAGATGATACTTTCTCACTATGGTGTTTATGTTTGTTTGTTTTTTTTTAATAGAGGGAGCCATATTTAAGTGCTTTCAACTGAACTTTCAACAAAATTGGTTGATCAAGAAGAGACTGCCAAATGAAACATTAGGACAAAGAACCCAATCACTTGCAGAGGCCTTGAATAAGGCTGGCCAAGCTATTTCAGGAACAGGATGCTATGAGAGGGTGCCGGCCTGGGCTGGACATGAAGTGTAGATATTTTGTGTTCAAATGTAGGTTAAGAATGTGCAAGGAGGTTTCTTCCATACTTCCAGGTATTTTCAGTAGAATTCAGATCTTGTCGATTGCCAGGTCATCTGAAAACCCTAAGTGCACAACATAGAAAAAAGGTTCGAATTTAGGAAGTATTAGAGAATTAGGCATTCCTAGAATAAACTAGTGCTTCGCAGATAAAAGCAACAGCACCTGTGGGTCTTCACCGCATTAAAAGACAGGCAGCGTGAGTTCCAGCTTCTGCCAGATCTCCTTCTTGGCTCTACTCAAGTGGACACTGAGATCTTTCCACAACAGAGTCAGTGAGTGACCCCTTAAGATGGGCATGTTCAGAACATTGCTAAACCTTGAAAAGAGGTAGAGAAATCCTCTGTGCTTAGCGCACAGCCCACCAGTTCTGATCTAGCCTTGGAACAGGTAGAAAGCCCAGTACAGAAGCCCATTTATTCATTTCCTAATGTTCTATGTAAGTTTCAAAATAAATTCAGCCTCCATTAAACCTGAATAATAAGAGAAACTCCAGCTATTCAATAACTAGAGAGAAGTACTCCTCAATAGGTTAAAAAAAAAATGTGAGTTTTTAAAGCTTTATGTCAGAGTCTGACTGCTGTCCCTGCCTTAATGTTTCTGGGATTCTTTTGGCCATTTAAAATAAAGAGAAAAAGCTAAAGCCACTAGTAAACCACCTGATGTGCAAAAGACAACATCCACTAGTTGGCTTTGCGCAGTTGCAACATAAGCTCCAAACAGCTCATCTTAAATTATAAAAGAAAAACGAAGTGGCTGTCCCATCTCTGCTGCATAAATAGAAAGCAGATTTTTTTTTTTTTTTAAAGATAAGAGTACTTTAAGGAGGGGAAGTTCAAAACTGCAGCCAAATTCACAGAGAATACAAATTTAGCAAGTTAACTTCCCAAAGCTCTTTGAAGAAACAAGACAGTCTCTCTCCTTGATGCAGTGTCTCCCAAAAAGAACTGTAACTTTGCTTGGTACTTATGCTGGGAGAGACGCAAGGCATGTGTTTCAATGTTTGCTGGAATATAACGTTTCCTCCTCAGTGTCTGTTTCGTCCTGGAACTCATGGCTTAAGAGAGACTTCTTGGAGCCAGTTGACATCATGCGAATTTCATCTTCATACTCATCATGATGCTGCCTGAGCCGATGAAAGCCATCCTTGTGTCTGTTAGACTTGATTGAGCAGATGCACCAGATAATGCAAGCTGTTAAGATCAATGCCGACATGGTGGCACCTGTCAAACAGAACCATCACGTGAGTGGAGCTCTAGCTGAAGGATGCAAATAAGCAGCTGCTTACAATGGCACTTTTTAGCATATTCCCTTATTTATTTATCTCATGAACTTAAAAACAACCTTTTATTATTATAGAAGTAGTAACATGTATTATGCGCAAAATTAGAAAAATATCGGTAAGCAAAATACTAGAAACCCAAACTCCAAACTCTACTTCCTCACATTTCCATTATCCTGAGATCATTTTTAGCAACCCTAGTGCATATTTTTTCTGGATTTTCCTTCATGCCTGTGTATATGTTTACAAATATATTTTTTTCTTTTACCACAGTGCAGAACTATGGCTAATACTGTGCAACCCACTTTTTAAAATCAATGACTTCTACTTTTCCTTTCCAGTAAATTTTCATCTCATTCCAAATCCCTCATTTATGTAAAATATTTTTACATAAGGTTATCAGAATAAGAGTCTAAGGAACATAAAATACAACTAACAAAATCATAATAAAAATTAAGTGCACAACAGCAAATGGGTGGCAGAGTCAGATTTAAACTGAATCCCAGCTTCTGTCTTTCTAAGCACTTTGTGATTCATGCTTTATCTGGTTCAAGTTAAGAACTAGTCTACTCAAAGGATTAATCTCAAAAATATACAAGCAACTCCTCCAGCTCAACTCCAGAAAAATAAATGACCCAATCAAAAAATGGGCCAAAGAACTGAACAGACATTTCTCCAAGGAAGACATACAGATGGCTAACAAACACATGAAAAGATGCTCAACATCACTCATTATCAGAGAAATGCAAATCAAAACCACAATGAGGTACCATTACACACCAGTCAGGATGGCTGCTATCCAAAAGTCTACAAGCAATAAATGCTGGAGAGGGTGTGGAGAAAAGGGAACCCTCTTACACTGTTGGTGGGAATGCAAATTAGTACAGCCACTATGGAAAACAGTGTGGAGATTTCTTAAAAAGCTGGAAATAGAACTCCCATATGACCCAGCAATCCCACTTCTGGGCATACACACCGAGGAAACCAGATCTGAAAGAGACACGTGCACCCCAATGTTCATCGCAGCACTGTTTATAATAGCCAGGACATGGAAGCAACCTAGATGACCATCAGCAGACCAATGGATGAGGAAGCTGTGGTACATATACACCATGGAATATTACTCAGACATTAAAAAGAATTCATTTGAATCCGTTCTAATGAGATGGATGAAACTGGAGCCCATTATACAGAGCGAAGTAAGCCAGAAAGATAAAGACCATTACAGTATACTAACACATATATATGGAATTTAGAAAGATGGTAACGATAACCCTATATGCAAAACAGAAAAAGAGACTCCAATGTATAGAACAGACTTGTGGACTCTGGGAGAAGGCGAGGGTGGGATGTTTCAAGAGAACAGCATCGAAACACGTATATTATCTAGGGTGAAACAGATCACCAGCCCAGGTTGGGTGCATGAGACAAGTGCTCGGGCCTGGTGCACTGGGAAGACCCAGAGGGATCGGGTGGAGAGGGAGGTGGGAGGGGGGACCGGGATGGGGAATACATGTAAATCCATGGCTAATTCATTTCAATGTATGACAAAACCCACTGCAATGATGTAAAGTAATTAGCCTCCAACTAATAAAAAATAAATGAAAAGAAAAAATAAATAAATAAATAAATAAATAAAAAATAAAAAAAAACCAGTAACCCTTCCACAAAAAAAAAAAAAAAAAAGAACTAGTCTACTGTAAACACCACACAACAGGCCCCATGATTTGCCCATGTTTCCAAAATACCACTCTCTCTCTCAACCAAGGATTTCTCCCCAACACACCCTGTAATAAAACTTGGTTATTTTCAAACAGGTTCAAGCTCTCCTTATAAATAAACCAAAGTTTTTGTGTCCAAAGATACAATACAGCAGAGTATTTATTGTTTTACCACATTTTTTCCTTCTTAAACTTTCAGTAATTCAAGCAATGGCACATTAATCCTGGAGGAAACAAATATGCTCTCCTTCCAGGATCATGGGAAAAATAGAACTAATATAAGTCAAAGTCCAAAGGACTTAAGATCTTAGCAAGTCATTCATTCAACCAACAGTGAAGTGGCTCTTCCTTAAGACCCACTACATGCCACTCATGGTTCTAGGCACTGGGGAGGCAGATAAAAGCCCTTTCCTGTCAGAGCTCATGTTTTAGTGGGGGAGATCAAATACAGACAAATAAATGACTAAACATATAATGTAATGGCAGCTAGTGAGAAGTACTTTAACCCAAACAAGTGAGGCAGGAACAGTGATAGGGGTATTATTTTAGCTAGGGTAATCAGGGTGGAAGGCCTCTCTGTGGAGATGACATTTGAGTACAGACCAGAAAATGAGAAGAGGCAAGCTGTGAGAACATATGGAAAAATATTCCAGGAAAGTATTCTAGGAAAATCATGTTTAGGTAGGAGACAGTAAAGGAGAAGGTTCAGATGATTGTGGAGCTGATCCACGCTCAACCTGAAATGTCAGGATGAGTTTTTAACTTTGACTACTAAAAATTTACCTGATACAGTTACCACAAGCTCCCGTGGCAAACCAAAGATCCGGTTATCTGTGTCAAAGACTATTACCACAGAACTTGCAGCATCATGACGCACAAAAACCTAGGAAGATAAAGTGCAAGAATGAGGAAAATGTTTACTTAAGGTATGCTGTATCCACGCTATGTTCCTAGGGCCTTTACAGCAAACCGAGATGGCTGGTTGTCATCTAAAGTACACAAAATGCTACAAAAATTTCCCTTTTGTTGCTAAAGGATAGAAAGATAACTATCATAATCAGGAGATAGTCTGCTTTTCTTTGTTGCCTACAAGTTTTCTAACAAGAGTTTAATGTCAAACAGAAGTTAAACAGAAGTTTAGTTCCTGGTAGCTCAGCTGGTAAAGAATCTGCCTGCAATGCAGAAGACCCCAGTTCAACTTCTGGGTTGGAAAGATCCCCTGGAGAAGGGATATGCTACCGACTCCAGTATTCCTGGGCTTCCCTGGTGGCTCAGCGAGTAAACAATCTGCCTGCGATGTGGGAGGCCTGGGTTTGATCCCTGGGTTGAGAAGATCCCCTGGAGAAAGAAATGGCAACCCACTCCAGTATTTTTGCCTGGAGAATTCCATGGACAGAGGAGCCTGGTGGGCTGCAGTCCATGGGGTCACAAAGAGTTGGACATGACTAGGCAACTAACATATATATCTAACGTATATATATTCCTGTTTCTAGAAGTATTATTAGTAACAAGAATTTACATTATACCACTCAAGTTGAGTTTCTTACCTGTGAATGTTGTTGCTGATACCCATCAGCGATGGCGTTGATGTTATGGACGCCTGGGGCTAACAGTACATGGAAATAACCTCCGTCTTTTGTGTGTACCTTTATTCCTTCATTGAGCACAATGACTGCTTTAGAGATTGGTTTTCCAGTCTTATCTTTAACAAACCCATGAACTCCCTTGTGAACCTGAAAAAAAATGTTTAAAATATAAATTTGTGTTTTTAATAAATGAAATATTGTCTGCCATATCAGCAAACAAAGAATGTCACAGTCATCAGTGATTGTAGCCACAGCAGATGGTGAGTTGGTAAGCCCTGAGGTAACTTAGGAAGCAAAAGAATACTTGCCTTCTAACAGCCATCAAACTGCAGCCACTCCCCATGGTGAGCCCTGAGAAAACTCAGAATGTGAAACACAGGATACTGGCCCCAGACAGCTGAGGTGCATATCAAAGGGATGGTTTTAGTGGGCTCACACTCTTGCATCTTCCCAAGTATAGAAAATGGCTAACTTCCTTAACTTGAGATATCTGGTTTTCTTTAATTAACAGCAACCTTTTGATGTTAAGACTACCTGCCCTTTGTTGCAAAACGCCTATACATCCTGGATCCTCCCCAACTTCCTCAGAGCAGTTCTTTCAGGGTTACTGGAGATGCTGCCTCCTGGGCTTTAAGTCCTAAAAGCTCTCACCAAATAAAACATAACTCTCAACTTTTAGGCCGTGAATAATTTTTTAGTCGACATTTTCATGAATCCAGATATCCAAGGGGCAATAGCTTCAGACACGACATAAACCAAAAAAAAAACACAAAACCACCCTCCAGAGGGCTGGCTTATCCCTCCCTCCCCACCGACTCTGACTTGTTTGCTACTCACTCACTGCTGCAGGGGCCCAGAGACGGAAAGAGGTGAAAAAAGGACTCTGATATAGTCAAGCCTAAAATGTTAGAACCCAAATCTACTATGCCTTGAATGTTTTACTTCCCACCTCAGGAGTAACGCTGTGCGATATTCCAGTGGAAGAACCTGTGACATCTCACAGGGTTAAATTACCTCATCATACAGCAGATATGTGAACTCATGTCACCTATTTAGGCAATATAAAAGGAATAAAACTCTCCTTTCTATGTCATTTAAAATAAATAATGTTGAGGCTTCCCTGGTGGCTCAGTGGTAAAGAATCCACCTGTCAATGTCAGAGACGTGGGTCTGATGCCTGATCTGGGAAGATCCCACATGTTGCAGAGCAACTATGCCCCCATGCCACAACTACTGAGAGCCTGTGCTCTAGAGCCTGGGGGCCGCAGCTGCGGAGCCCATGTGCCCCAGAGCCCTGCTCCGCAACAAGAAGCCACCGCAGAGAGAAGCCCGAGCACTGCAATGAAAAGGAGTCTCTGTTTGCCCCAACTAGAGAAAAGCCTGCACATCAGTGAAGACCCAGCACGGCCAGAAATAAATAAAACAATAAAATTATTAAAAAATAAAGTCAGTAACACAAAATTTTGGTAAAAGATGAAGAAAATGTTTTGATAAAAGTTTCCATTGAACATACTCCTGGGAGTTTGCTTCTAATAGAGGATTACTCACCTCCACCAACATGCTGAGAAGAGATTTCTTATTTTCTGCCCACAACGAAGGGAGTTGTGCTGCACTAGGAAAGTAGCAGCAGCTCGTATACACTGTGATCTCCGGACAGTGGCCATAGGTGACACTATAATCCTGGAATATAAAATTCACAAACAAATGCAGGAAGATGAATAAGCACAAGTAAGAATGGGGCTTTGTAATGCTCAAATGGGATGAATCGAATAAAAAGACAACTTGGCTGATGTAAACAAAGAATCTGTAAAGCATTTCACAGCAAATATAAATAAACCCCTTGGTATTATAATCAGTCGCAAACACGTCTATTCCTAAAAGAATTCTTAAGACCAGGGGTTATGTCTAATTCATTTTTACATCTCCAGTGCTTCCTACAGTGCCCGGTTGGTAGAAGGGTTGTTGTTATGGTTTGTTGAATAAATGAAAAGTACATGCAGAGTGTCAGCTTCCCTTTAAATCCTGGAATTTCATTGCTGTTACTGCTGTTCTCGAAGTTCTTAGCGGCAGAAGCACAAGTACTTGGTCTCTGATACTCGCAACCTGAAGGCTCAAGCCTACCATACAGCAATATAGCAAATATTTAGGTAGGAACTACTTGTGTGGACAAGTTCCAAAACCTAACTTTCCACCTTCCCTCAACTGCCAAACCTCTTCTTCCTAATTCAATTCAGTTAATGACAATAACTCATTTTATCACATGGATATGAAATCTTTTATCTTTGATTTCTTGCTATCATCTAGAATTTGTTAACTCTGGTGAATTCCATGTCTACAGGATCTCTGAAACTTCATCCCTTGATTCCACTCCCATTGCCACTTTTCTAATCTCGGACTTCAGTTGTTCCTGTCTAGGCTATTCTAAAACAGTCTCCCTGCACCACAGTCTCTCCTTCCTCCAAACCATCTTAGCCCACTGTTAAGAGATTGTTTTTCCATAGCACAGCTCAGATCATGTCACCATATCCCTGTTCAAAACTTCAATGGCTTCCCATTCCTCACTAAAACAAAGCATTCAAAGCCTCAAACTCTCCTTCCATTCTTATCCTCTGTTGCTCTCCATTACACCTCATATTCTAACAAACTTAGGCTGCTTCTCTTTTAAAAAATCTTCATTTTATATTGGAGTATACCTGATTAACAATGTTGTGTTAGTTCCAGGTATACAGCAGAGTGATTCAGTTCTACAGATACATGTATCTTTTCTTTTACAAATTCTTTTCCCATTTAGGTTATTACAGAGTATTGAGGAGAGTTCATTCACTTCGCTGTATCAGAAAAGCCACCTATTCTTTCACCCCACGGCCAGGACGTACTTACAATCCCGTTCTCACCGTTTTCTACAAAACATACCTTCATGCTGCCCAGGTGACTGTGCCATTCTGCTCCACGCATTACTCCTCCTGGAATATTCTCATCTACAGAAGCGTTGGGAGATTTAGTGTCAATAAGATCGTGTAAGGCAAGTCCTCGTCCTCTCTCCAAACAGCAACAACAGTAAGAGGGTAGGGAAAATACCTACCTGATTTATTGGGGCAACTGGGCTGACCCATATGCATCGATGGATGGTTATTTGCATAAAGAGACGCCAGATGCTTTAGAGTCTCTTTGTTTTCCACTACAAAAAGAAAAATTCAGAAGTTAGCAGAGATATCAAAAGGATTTTTCTCCAAGTTCAACTTCATGGACACAGAATTCACATTCCTTTCCTTCGAGTAAATCTTGTGCCTTAAGGAAGTTGATTGAGGAGTTATTATAATTATGTACATGGTTCTGTTCACCCCAAGTAGGGAAAGGAGTACATCAAGGCTATATGTTGTCACCCTGCTTATTTAATTTATATGCAGAGTATATCATGTGAAATGCTGGGCTGGATGAAGCACAAGCTGGAATCAAGGTTGCTGGGAGAAATATCAATAACCTCAGGTATGCAGATGACATCACCCTTACGGCAAGTGAAGAGGAACTGAAGAGCCTCTTGATGAAAGTAAAAGAGGAGAGTGAAAAAGCTGGCCTAAAACTCAACATTCAAAAAACTAAGATCATGTCATCTGGTCCCATCACTTCATGGCAAATGGGTAGGGAAACAATGCAAACAGTGACAGACTTTATTTTCTTGGGCTCCAAAATCACTGCAGATGGTTATTGCAGCCATGAAATTAAAAGGTGCTTGCTCATTGGAAGAAAAGTTATGACCAACCTAGACATCATATTAAAAAGCAGAGACATTACTTTGCCAACAAAGGTACATCTAGTCAAAGCTATGATTTTTCCAGTAGTCATGTCTGGATATGGGAGTTGGACTATAAAGAAAGCTGAGCACCAAAGAATTGATGCATTACAACTGTGGTGTTGGAGAAGACTCTTGAGAGTCCCTTGGACTGTAAGGAGATCAAACCAGTCAATCCTAATGGAAATCAGTCCCTGATATTCATTGGAGGGACTGATGTTGAAGATGAAACTCCAATTCTTTGGCCACCTGATGCAAAGAGCTGACTCATTGGAAAAGACCCTAATCCTGGGAAAGATTGAAGGCGGGAGGAGAAGGGGATGACACAGGATGAGATGGTTGGATGGCATCACCAACTCAATGAACATGAGTTTGAGCAAACTCTCGGAGTTGGTGACGGACAGGAAAGCCTGGTGTGCTGTAGTTCATGGGGTTGCAAAAAGTCAGACACAACTGAGTGACTGAACTACTCTAGCCTGTTCACCCCAGAATAATCTGACCAAGAAGAGAAGCAACTTTCTTATATTAAAAGGCACTGTGAGTTTAACAAGTCACTGCAGAAAAATACAAACCTATTTTGGTATGTTTTACTACATTTGGGGGCGACTGTGGCCTAATTACAACATTCCTTGTAAACTTGAAAATGTATTGAAAACGACACAAATTATTTCCACATACAATGGCCTCAGACAGATTCAACAGGCAACTGTTTAATTCCCCACAAGGTGCAATCAGTCAGGCACAGTTTAGAGCAGGAGAGGGGAATTCAGTACCATTGCTTCCCTGATAGCTCAGTTAGTAAGAATCCACTTGCAATGCAGGAGGATCCTGGTTTGATTCCTGGGTCAGGAAGATCCACTGGATAAGGGAAAGGCTACCCACTCCAGTATTCAATGTTTGGTTACATGATATGAATTTCTTGGGGCGAGCACTGTGTCTTATTCACTTTCGTATTTCCAATATCTACAGACATAATAACTGTTCCATAAGTGCTTAAGGAGTGAACTGAACAGGTGTGACAAGATAGCTACACTGAATAAAGCCAGGCTCCCTCCTACAAGGAACTGTTTGAACTGTTGACGAGTGTACAGTCTTCTTAGGCTGGTTATTCATGCAGTGTGCTCAAAGGCTCACCATTTTAAAGTTTCAGAAGGGACATTACCTAACTGAAATTTGAAATTTCCTATCTAAGCTTAAATGCTATATATGTAAAGTGACATTCTACATACCTGTTTGCACTGGCTTGTCATATGGGTATGTGACCAGCACCGAACCACCATCTAGAGCAACAGAAAGACTGAAGTCCTGTTTCTGAATCAAGTTTTCAATGATGGCTTTAGTCTCAGGTTGGGAGGCATTACCTAAAAATCAGAAAAGTCAAACATAAAATACCGAGTTTTAAAATTTTATTATGAGCAGCTAAGAAAATATTCCCTACTTGGACATAGTCAAAAGGTTAACTTACAAAATCTGTAGATAAACACTTTATTACACCGTAAGCCAATACCTCAAGAAAGAAAGATACATCCTAGGAGGCAGGTTATTTTGAGTTTTACATATTTTAGATAATGTTGAAAGGTCAATGACTCTTAGCAAGTTTAACAAAATTCTTACTGGAAACAAAAAGAGATAGATATATCCTCTCTTAGACAATGATAACCTGTTTTTGAAAAAAAAAAAAAGATTTTCAGAAATTTTCTGCAGCACTGTTTGCAAGAACAAAAAATTAGAACGAAACTAAAATGTCCATCAGCAGGGAAACTGTTGAATAAATGAGAGTACTACCATACATTAATAGCATACTAAAATGCCATTAATAAGAATGTTAGAGATTTGTAAGTATTAAAATAGACAGATATCAGTGATGTATCCAGTGGAAAAAGCTGCAGAATATCTATAGCTGATGATCCTTATATTTAAGTAAATAAGAAACAGGCCCCTTCAAATCAACACACACATACATCGTGTGTATGTGTGTGTGTGTGTGTGTACACACATATATAAGAGAGTAGAGAGAGAGAATATCCATCTCTGTATGACTAGTGATGGAAACTTCTCCCTAATATTGGATTTTGAAGAAAAAACCTGAATTACCTTTGCAAATGAAAAAGAAGGAAAACCTGCAAAGTTTTCAAGATGTCTCCATTTATACTGTACATCCTAGACAAGAAAGCACCCCTTAATCATTTAAATAACAGGATCAATCAATCTCCTAGCAAAGAGAAATAAAATTATCTGCAAAGTACTTTAATGGCCTAAAAAGAAGTCTTACTTGTGAAGTCTGTATCCAGGTCTTTGCCACGAGCATTTGTCTGTCCTGTCTTGGAAGTACAGTCTTTCTCTTGTGCTTTCTCTCGCCCATCTGGATTTAGAGAAGGGACAATCACAATTCTAGTCCTGTCAACCAACTAAAACAGAAACAGAAATAAATGGGTTTATTAGCTCTATGTGAAATCAAAAGATACCTTGCCATGCCTCAAACAGAAAAGTCTTCATTATTTGTTTTAAACACAGATTTAAAAGGCAGAATTGGAAAATAAATAAAATTCTTTCTTGCTCCAAATAAATTTTAAAAAGAATCAAAAACTGTACAACTAATGTTCCTAGAGACCTCCCGAAAACTTACATCAAGGGTCAAAAACCACTGCCTATAGACTATAATCCCCTGGAGGAGGAAATGGCAACACACTCCAGTATTCTTGCCTGGAAAATCCCATGGATAGACAGGCCTGGCAGTCTACAGTCCATAGGGCTGCAAAAGAGTCAGACATGATTGAGCACACACACACAAAGGCTAAACCCGGCCTGATGCTTGTTATTGTAAATAAAGTTTTACTGGCACACAGTCTTGCCCATTCATATGACTGTTTTTGTTCTGCAATGGCAGAGTTGAGTAGTTGCGACACAGAACATCTGACCCACAGAGCCCCAAATGTATATTACATGACCTTTTGTAGAAAAGGTTTGCTGACCACTGGCTGGCTTAGGTCAATAATAATGGCAATATGGTATTTCCAGATTAAAAACTAGAACATATAATGTTCTAGTTGACAAATATCAATGTACATCTGCAAACAATGAGCCAGAAGAGTTGAAATCAGCATATCAAAGAAATATGGGGTAGGATATTTGTCTTACCTTAATAATTTCCCTTCAGATGATCCATATCCATAGGTGTTAATACCTATATTTATGGCATGAACTTCTCATGTAATTTATCCTAAATATTTCTAATAGTCAATCAAAATAAGTGATCCCTGGTTTATTTGGTCTGGTAAAACAGTCAATAGCTTGAAAATATATTTTCAATCCTTTAATTAATTTATCCTAGAATCTTTCCCCTGAGGGAGATTTTCTTCCTAAAGTATATATGTTTGGGCTTAACCAAAGGTCTCTGGTTATGTATATATTTCTTTGAAGTCTCCAGACAATTCTGACACTTAGGTCAAAACAAATGGCAATCTAAAGCATTGTTGTTGTTTAGTTGTGTCCGACTCTTTTGCAACCCCATGGACTATATAGCCCACGAGTCTCCTCTGTCCATGGGATTTCCCAGGCAAGAATACTGGAGTTGGTTGCCATTTCCTTCTCCAGGGGATCTCCCCACCCAGAGATCAAACCTGTCTCTTGCACTGCAGGTGGATTATTTACCAATGAGCTACCTGGGAAACCCAATCTAAAGTGATCTAAGCCTAATTAGACCAGTGAGGCAAAATCTCATAAATTAGGAGTTTTAAAATTCATAGTAGATGTTGTACCTTTTATAACCATAAGATCAGTAGGTAGTAATTGTGGCAAAATAATAGAATAAGGAGCTTTTAAAGGAATATTGATGCTTCTGGGGATGGAGCCCAGCCACTGAGACAAAAACTTCCCAGGTTTTTCAATGTGTAGCCAGGATTGAGAACCACTCTCCTAGGTAATCTCCATTTTAAAACGACAACATCAACAAAATCTTTGAAAATAGGAAGAAGTTAATGGGATCTCCTTTTTTGAAAAATTTTTGATCAAGTCTGATTTACGTTCACCACACCTAATCCCACATCATGGGATCCTACTTGTGACATCAATTCTTTCCCAATTTCTCTCAGTGGAGGCAGTAGAGTAAAACAGAATAGCATAGGCTTTCGAGTGACACAAACCTGGGCTTAAATCCCAGCTTTACCACTTAGTAGCTGTGTGACCTCCTGTAAGTTATCAACTATCTCTGCCTCAGTTTTCACATCTATTAAATGGAGATAACATAATTGCAGGGTTGAGGATTAAATTATGATATATGTGAAGTACCTACAACATAGTAGGTATTAAACAAATACTATTTCCTTTTCCCTTTCCTAAGTTCTATACAGACAGTGCCAAATAGTGAGTGTTGTAAACAGAGGCATACTCTTTCCTTCCTTTCTCTAACACAACACAGAAACCAGGCTGTTTAATCATATACAAGCAGCTTCTGGACCAGCATTATAGTCTCCAGTCATGGATGACTGAAGTTGGCACGGCTGTATCACTTTTTCTAAAATCTCTTAGCATCCAGGGTGTCCAATACTTTCATCTTTATTACATGAAAAGAAAAACTATTTCTCTTCCACCTCATTTTTAAATATAGTACCCTAACTGTAAATGACTGGCAATGGAAGTCCCTCAAATTAGAGTGTATATCACTGTGAGTGAAGAATGGAAGGGTAATATAAAGGAATAGAGGACTGAATGAAAATCTTTATTATTTCTTTTCCTCTATGGCTCTTAATATATACAAAGAAATATAGTAGACACTATTAACAACTATATACCAAGGTCCATTTTTAAAGAGTAAAGTTTATAACGATCTTAAAAGTACCACTGTATAAAAATCTAACAGGAAATTAAATTTTTTAAAAAATGATGCCTTGATATCAGTATACAATCAGTGAGTCACTGAGCTCTATCCTTTTAAAGCATGTCAAAACAGGTTATTCCCTTACTTGTGTAACAGCTGGGTTCTTTTTGTAGTTTAGGCAGAGAAATTCTGCCAGAGCCAAAAGAAGTTCAGTTCCAACTGGAGCATTGCCATGGATACCAGCAACAAAACGAATCTTTGGTTCTTCAGGCTCAGATACATTGGGTTTATTGGAGATTTCAAGGGACCAAATGTGACGATATTCAGCACTCTGTCCCAAACTGTTGAAAACCAGAATCAAAAAGTCAGTAAGTAATCAAGTTACTTACTTGATTGCTGCCTTACTTGATTACTGTTAATGCTGCCTTACAGATTTTAAAAACAGAAATGAGAACAAAATTCAAAAAGTCTTAAAAAATCTTTAAAGAATAAATCTGTGTCAGAATACTTTAAGAAAATTAGGTTCCCTTGATCAAAGAAAGTCAAACAGATGTGAGATACTATCAGATTTAGGAATGACTACGATTGAGAACTGCATTCCTTAAAGTCCAGTCATTCCTCGATCATCTTCGTGATGTTTACCCAATCTTCTATAATCTATACTATTTCTTTAGTTAGTATATGTCTCTTAAGTTAATTCACTTAAATTTTTATTACTGAAATCTCTAAATATACACAAATACATAAAATCTTACTTTTAAGATCTAAATGAATTTATGTAAATAAGACATTTTATATTTTAAATGCAGTACCAGAATCACAGCAAAACTAACTTTAAAGCCCTGCTTTCTCTGATATAAAGAAAGACTTATTAAGAGTTAGAAAAAAAAATTGGCACTGAGAATTAATAGAATAGACAAAGCACTGCTTTTGCACAAACGTATTTAATGATACTTAGTAACCATTGGAGGGCCACCTAAAACTGTCTTGCATCCCAGCATGGGCAGATGTTGTGCATTAGGGGGGGACTATTTAACAAAAAATGCATGCTTAATTGCATTTAAAGGTTAAAAAGCTTCACTAAGTAAATGGAAAGCAAATCAATGTCCAATTTTTTTTATTTTAAAATAAGAAAGTTTTTAACCTCTATATGGCACTAAGATGGACAATATTAAAACATGACCTGGGCAGAAAAGTTCAAGAATCAGTTGAGGAAAAGAGGTAACTGGTATCTTCCAACGGAAGAGAGGTAATTTCAGTTCAGTTCAGTTCAGTCGCTCAGTCGTGTCCGACTCTGCGACCCCATGAACCGCAGCACGCCCGGCCTCCCTGTCCATCATCAACTCCTGGAGTCCACCCAAACCCATGTCCATTGTGTCGGTGATGCAATCCAACCATCTCATCCTTCGTCGTCCCCTTCTCCTCCTGCCCTCAATCTTTCCCAGCATCAGGGTCTTTTCAAATGAGTCAGCTCTTCGCATCTGGTGGCCAAAGTACTGGAGTTTCAGCTTCAACATCAGTCCTTCCAATGAACACCCAGGACTGATCTCCTTTAGGATGGACTGGTTGGTTCTTCTTGCAGTCCAAGGGACTCTCAAGAGTCTTCTCCAATACCACAGGTAATTGGTAATTGCCAAAGTAAATATGTGCAATTTATGTGCAAAAGTAAAATCCTTTGCAATCACAAACATTATAAACCAGAATTTGAGAAACTAAGTTTACTGGTAAAATTAAAAGAAACAGTGAAGGAAAAAAAAAGTGAAAAGTAAAAGGCTAGATAATGTTCATTTGGTTTGGAGTAAAGACTTGTTAAGCTCAGGGCAAAATGTAAAGGAAAGACCCTACAACAGGCAAACAATAGGAATCAACAGATCAAGGAAATAATTTTGAAACAGTGAAAGTGAAGCACAGAAGCACAATGAAATGAAGGTAAAAGTTATCTCAGTCATCAGTTTCACATAAGCCAGTACTGCATGTTTTCTCAGAACCCTTAATCACATGCGCCCCTAAGGCTTCAGGGAACAGTAACTGTGAGTAGAGACTGAAGTACAGAAAATGACACCCAACCAGACTTCACTTTCTAATCTGAAGAAAAGGTTAAACATTATTCCTGACAAGTGAGCTCATAGTTCTAAACCTATCCCTTGCCCCTAGCAAAATAAAACTAAATAATATTTACTCAGAACATAAAATCTGCAGCTGAGAAGTGGAAAGGGTTTTGAAATCAAAGTAATCATTAGAAAGAGTGGTTTTATATTACTCAGCCATTAAAAAGAATATATTTGAATCAGTTCTAATGAGGTGGATGAAACTGGAGCCTATTATACAGAGTGAAGTAAGTCCGAAAGAAAAACACCAATACAGTATAGTAACGCATATATATGGAATTTAGAAAGATGGTAACAATAACCCTGTATGCGAGACAGCAAGAGAGACACAGATGTATTGAAGAGTCTTTTGGACTCTGTGGGAGAGTGCGAGGGCTGGATGATATGGGAGAATGGCATTGAAACATGTAAATTATCATATGTGAAACGAATCGCCATTCCAGGTTTGATGCATGATACAGGATGCTCGGGGCTGATCCACTGGGATGACCCAGAGGGATGGGATGGGGAGGGAGGTGGGAGGGGGGTTCAGGATGGGGAACACATGTACACCCATGGCGGATTCAAGTCAATGTATGGCAAAACCAATACAATGTTGTAAAGTAAAATAAATAAATTTTAAAAAAAGAAAAAAAGAAAGAAATCTGATCTAAGGCAAAAAAAAAAAGAAAGAGTGGTTTTACGTTTTCTGGAGGTACAGGTCACACATTACTGAACTAACAAGTAGCTCCGCTCCAGTGTTTCTTGTAAACGTTTCCAATATTCATTGCTAGAAAGATCTCCAAGCAAATATCTGTTTCAAAATAAGTTAATGCCAACTCTATACATTCAACCCAAATATTTCTAAATGAATTACAAGAACCATTTAATGTGGTTTATGCTGAATGTAACCTCTGTAAAAAAGAATAAAGGAAGGAAGGAAGGAGAAAGAAAGGTAAAAAAAAAAAGTCAGTAAGAAGGTGACACTTACTTGGTAAGATTTGTAATAAGTGGATAGTTCATCACAAGCCCTCTCAGAAACTCTGACAAGTCCTTGTATGAATGGTAACGATAAAGAGCCAGATTTGACGAGGAGCGTAACATGAGGCGTTCCAAACCATTCTCAGCTGAAAGGTCTTTAATTAAAGCTTCAAACTCTTTAGTGGTCGGATCGCTGACACCATCAGTATTGGTACTGTCCCCCTTGCCCTTCTTTGATTCATTGTTTGAATCTGCTGAAGATCGGACAAGTGTGAAGTTGACCTGAACAGCACCTTCACTCTTTACGGTCACATTCTTGGTGACTGGGTTATACCTGCAATAAAGTAGACAGATCAGGGCCACATCTCTGCAGCTGGAGAACCCAAGCCCTGGGAAGACAGGGCAACTCAAGGCTGCTGAGCCTCCGCAGGGCTTTCTGGCAATAATCTTCCAGAACAGAGCTGTTTCTTTCATCCTCAGGCACCCAATTTCAGAGCATTCAGTTACTCACCCTCGAGCAGATGCGGTGATTTTATAAGTTCCTGGAACCAAGAGACGCCAGTAATCTCCATTTTTGTAAGTAGTTACTGGGTGATTAATTTCAGCAACACTAATGGTGGCATTTAATATACCTCTGCCATCTGTGGCATCTAGGACAAATCCTTTGACACCCTGATGGACCTGGATAAAACACAAGGATACCCAGATTTTACTGGTAAAGGTTATCATCTAGTTATTTTGGGAGTTCACATCCAACATAACAGATTCTTAAATAATGTAAATGTGTGGAACAAACAGGAATTCAGGACTTCAGAGAAAAGCTAAATGTAACCATCCATTAAATAAAACATTTTATTTTCCAAAAGGCGAACTTTTCATCAGTTATATTTGTCTTTACCATGAGGAATATAAACAACTGTTTAAACTTCAGCACTAATTTTAGAATACAGGACATTCAACAAGAAAACTGACCTGACTGCTTTAAAAAGGAAATGTCATTTAAAAAAAAATAGAGGACTACTCTAGATCAAAGAGAGTAAAGAGATGTAATAATAAAACCAAATGCAATGCATGAATCTTGACAAGATTGTGGTTCTAAAATACAGCTATAGAAAGACATTTTGAGGACAATAAGGAGGAAACTTAAATGTGGACTAAGTATTAGGCAGTATAGGGAGTTGGTGTTAATTTCCTTAGGTGCTCTCTCTCTCTCTGCTCTGCTCAGTCATCTCAGTCGTGTCTGACTCTCTGCGACCCTATGGACTGTAACCTACCAGGCTCCTCTGTCCATGGGATTTTCCTGGCAAGAATACTAGAGTGGGAGCCATGCTCTCTCCTCCAGGGGATCTTCCCAAACCCAGGGATTGAACCTGTATCTCTTGCATCTCCTGCACTGGAGGTGGATTCTTTACCATTAGTGCCACCTGGAAAGTCCTTTTCTTAGGTGAGATAATAGCAATTGGAGATGTCAGGTAGGAGAATTAACTCTATTTTTAGACTACTTTTAAATATTCTGAAATACTTAGGGACAAATATCATAATGCCTGCAATTTATACTGAAATAGTTCAGCAAAAATATGTGTGTGTGTGTGTGTGTGTGTGTGTGTATAAAAAATACAAATGCAGCAAATGTAAAAACTGTTAAAGCTAGGTAAAGGAAAAGTAGTATTTATTGTGTTAGTCTTACAATTTTTTCCTAATGTTTAAAAAATTTCAGAATAAAGTGTTCTAAGATATTAGTATGTAAAATGAAAGTCCCTCTGTCGTGGCTGACTCTTTGGGATCCTGCAAGCCAGAATACTGGCGTGGGTAGCAGTTCCCTTCTCCAGGGGACTCTTCTAAACCCAGGGATTGAACCCAGGTCTCCCACATTGCAGGCAGATTCTTTACCAGCTGAGCCACAGGGAAGCCCAAGAATACTGGTGTGGGAAGCCTATCCTTTCTCCAGTGGATCTTCCTGACCCAGGAATCAAAGCGGGGTCTCCTGCATTGCAGGCAGTTTCTTTACCAACTGAGCTATCAGAGAAGCCTATTAGTATATAAACTCACACCCTTTATGCCACTTTACTCAGAAAAGTACTGGCACAAAGGAGTACTCAGATTATTCTAATAATTTTCATCATTATTAGCATATGTTTACAGTCTTTACCTATTGGCTACCATGCACATCCAAACAAAAGAAAACTAATCATTTCACAGTAAATCTATGGCAAAAAAAAACAACACACACACACATTCACCCCATAGCCCATCTTTTGCTTCCTTAGTCACTCAGTTGAAACTGGCCCTTTGTGACCCCATGGACTGTAGCCCACCAGGATACTCTGTTCACAGGATTTTCCAGGCAAGAATACTGGAGTGAGTTGCCATTTCCTTCTCCAGGAGATCTTCACCACCCAGGGATCGAACCTGGGTCTCCTGCACTGCAGGCAGATTCTTTACCAACTAAGCCACCAGGGAAGCCTAATATGCTGAGCTGGCTTATCACTTGGCAAATTTTTAGGTGTGTATCCAATTTATATTAGCCTTTTATAAAGACAAGGGTAAAAAGTGACACTGTCCATTAAGTGTAAAACATCATCACTACATCATTTAATCATTTCAAGCTTTTCTCCACACATAAAAATAAACTTATTTACATCCATAAATCATCTAATAAGTTTACTAAAATATGAATAGGTCAAACTGGAATTCCAATGAGGTGTATTTAAAAATCAATGCATGAAAACCACATGTACACACAAAAATCTTGCTCTTGGAAGAAATTTCCGATGTCACTCCTGAATAGTCACCTGTTTCATAAACTGGATTAGGGATCTTCGATTCTGTGCCCAAAATTTTGGCAGGTCTTTCTCAAATGGGTATTTCACACAACCTAGTTCAATAGTCACTTCAAAGCAATTTGTTTGCAAATAGTTCCAGTCCTGCATACCACCTGAAGGATAAAAACTTTAAATTAGTTACTCTGAAGAAGTTCTAACTAGCTCAGATCCCAAATGGTAAGCAACATTCCTAGTAAAAAGTCAAATTCGTTCTTTCATCAGCATAGTTGAACACCAGTAATGTGTTCATGTAAGAGTGCTTCGATGCTTGTGGTACAGGTAAAAAACATCTGTACTTTCATGTTCAGAAGAATTCAAGTGTAGCTCATACTCTTCTAATTAGCACATCTAATGTTCTTTATAATAGCCAGAGGAAAAATATAACATTTTCATCAAGTACAATAATTTTACTCAAAATTCAAAGTGCACCAAATATAAAAAATAGTTGAAAAAGTAATTTGAATGTTTTAAACTAATTATAAAATATTTTTAAAAGAATGATTATTTCTCAAAACTAAAAACTCAGTAACAAGCAGTACCATTGGGAGGACAGAAAATCCATCAAGTCGCATGGCCTTGATATAAAAGAATGTTTTACCTGGGACATTGTACCAACTGGCTCCATTTGTTATTCCATGAGGAAAATACTCATTAGGGTACATATTCTTACAAGGTCTACCTTGAAACATCTGCGAGTTTTCCTTAAAAAAAAAAAAGAAAAAAAGAATCTTTACTTGTATTTGTTTGTACCTGCATCAAAAAAAACATGAGGGGGATAAGGAAAGATAGTAAAACTGAAGACTTCATTTATTACTTGTATTTACAAGTAATATAAAAATCCAACCCAATCCCTCTCAAAAACAAAACCAAACTGTTCATATTCATACTTTCATTCCATGATCTCAAGAGGCTTAAAGTCCCTAAAAGGTAGCTCACAAACAAGGACAGGTAAGCATCTTTCTCTGACTTGTTAGGGACCGAGGCAGCCCCTCTGTGCTCTGCACTTTGTAGTTACTTTATTCTGCTACAACTGGTTGCATCTTTTTCTTCCCTAAAGACAATACCCTGCTCCTTGAAACAGTTTGTGCCTTTGTGTCTTCAGTGTCCAGCAGTGTCTAGCACGGCATGTGTGCAATTGTTTGCTCAATACAGAGTAAAAAAAAAAAATTCTATAGAGGCACAAATAAACACTATTGAAAGCTAGAGGAAAGAAAGATTATTTCTGACTGCAGTGACAGGGGAATTTTCCTGAAGAAATTAAAACTTTGAAAGATGGTCAAAACTTCACCTCTCTCTTTTGTAAATAGAAAATAAAAAGTACAAAAAAGTATAAAGAGAGAAATAATTTCTTACTTTCCCACCACTGAGGATTAACCACTTCACTTTAAAATATACAAAACAATCCCCTTTCATAAACTTAACATACCATTTACAGGCTTACCACTTACACCACTCTACTATCAAAGGAAAGTTATTACTTTAGATTCAATTCAGTTCAGTTGCTCAGTCGTGTCCGACTCTTTGCGACCCCATGAATCGCAGCACGCCAGGCCTCCCTGTTCATCACCAACTCCCGGAGTTTACCCAAACCTATGTCCATTGAGTCGATGATGCCATCCAACCATCTCATCCTCTGTCGTCCCCTTCTCCTCCTGCCCTCAATCTTTCCCAGCATCAGGGTCTTTTCAAATGAGTCAACTCTTCACATGAGGTGGCCAAAGTACTGGAGTTTCAGCTTCAACATCAGTCCTTCCAATGAACACCCAGGACTGATCTCCTTTAGGATGGACTGGTTGGTTCTTCTTGCAGTCCAAGGGACTCTCAAGAGCCTTCTCCAACACCACAGTTCAAAAGCATCAATTCTTCGGCACTCAGTTTTCTTCACCGTCCAACTCTCACATCCATACATGACCACTGAAAAAACTATAGCCTTGACTAGACGGACCTTTGTTGGCAAAGTAATGTCTCTGCTTTTTAATATGCTGTCTAAGTTGGTCATAACTTTCCTTCCAAGGAGTAAGCATCTTTTAATTTCATGGCTGCAATCACCATCTGCAGTGATTTTGGAGCCCAAAAAAATAAAGTCTGACACTGTTTCCACAGTTTCCTCATCTATTTCCCATGAAGTGATGGGACCAGATTCCATGATCTTAGTTTTCTGAATGTTGATCTTTAAGCCAACTTTTTCACTCTCCTCTTTCACTTTCATCAAGAGGCTTTTTGTTCTTCTTCACTTTCTGCCATAAGGGTGGTGTCGTCTGCATATCTGAGGTTATTGATCTTTCTTTAGATTACTGGAATATTTATATACATGTTGTGTATGTGTACAAAGGGAGAAGACAAGAGTGTTAGACTTAAAGTTTAAAATAGACTTCTGGTGACCTTTGAGGTGGCACTTCCAGGTGAAACAGTGTAGGTGGAAGATCGATGACAAGAAACTGAGGCATGAGAGAACAACAAGGAAGTAGAGACAAGTGGAGACTTTTCAGTTTTCTTATTCTTCTTTTGAACTAATTTTAGACTTGTAGAAATGCTGAAAAAATAGTACTGAGTTTTATACACCTTTGATCCAGTATTTCCTATGTTAGCATTTTATATAATCATAGCACATTGATCACAGAGAAGGCAATGGCACCCGACTCCAGTACTCTTGTAGGCTGCAGTCCATGGGGTCGCGAGGAGTCGGACATGACTGAGCGACTTCACGTTCACTTTTCACTTTTATGCATTGGAGAAGGAAATGGCAACCCACTCCAGTGTTCTTGCCTGGAGAATCCCAGGGATGGAGTTGCACAGAGTCGGACACGACTGCAGTGACTTAGCAGTAGCAGCAGCAGCACATTGATCAAAACAAAAAAACTAATTCAGTCATGTCCGACTCTTTGCAACCCCATGGACTGTAGCCCATCAGGCTCCTCTGTCCTTGGGGATTCTCCAGACAAGAATACTGGAGAGAGTTGCCATGTCCTCCTCCAGGGGATCTTCCCAACCCAGGGATCGAACCTAGCCCTCCCTCATTACACACAGATTCTTTACTGTCTGAGCCACCAGGAAAGCCCTAATATTGGCATGATACTATTAACTAAAATAGCCTACATTTTATTCAAATACCACTAGTGTTCCACTAATGCCTGCTTGAAATTTTCTCTTCCCTTGATATCTGTCACATTGTATAGCTCTGTTTTTTCACTTTCACTTAATTGAATTAAAATTAAATTTCATTATACTTAAAATATAATAAAAGTTATTGTAGAAAATTAGAAAATTAAGGCAAGCAAAAAGAAGAAAAATATAAAGCCAGAAATCACCAATCATTTCCTATTTTGGTATATAACTTTTGACCATTTTTTGACCCTTTTCTCTTTTCTCTTCACTAATTGTCAAAGGGCAGGCACTTCATTTCTTTTTGCTTTTCTGCTCTCCCAGAAGCTATGCATTTGGAAGATTTTCCTTTAAATCCACCTGCCCTTTTAAGTTGTGCTTATCCCTTTAAATACACCAGATCCTTTGCTTTGTATGTACTTTGAAACCTCTTCCATGTACTCCACTACTTTCACCTGCCCAGTTATTATGTTAGCATTTTCAGATTTAGGTTTCAGATTAAGGGCATATTCAGATTAAGGGCATATTCACTGCTTGATGGTCATTCTGAATCACTTTAATGCCTGCCTTTCCTTAAACTTCCCTCTTTTGTCTTCATTGATTTTGGAAGGTTTTATGCTAATTTCAAATAAATCATACAAAGAAAGACAAATACTATATGATATCACTTCTATGTGGAATTTAAAAAATACAACAGGAATACATGTAAATCCATGGCTAATTCATTTCAATGTATGACAATAACCACTGCAATGTTGTAAAGTAATTAGCCTCCAACTAATAAAAATAAATGGAAAAAAAATACAACAAATTAGTGAATATAACAAAACAGACTCAGAGATATAGAGAACAAACCAGTGATTATCAGTGGGGAGAGGAAAAGGGAAGGGGCAATACAGGAGTAGGGAATTAAGAGGTACAAACTACCATGTATAAAGTAAGCTACAAGGATATACAGAATAACACAGGGAAATAGCTGGTATTTTATAATGACTATAAATGGAGTACAATCCCTAAAAATTATGAATCACTATATTATACACCTGTAACATATAATATTACACATCATATGTACTTCAATTTTTTAAAAATAGGAGAAAAAAATGAAGAATATGAGTAAAACAAACAATAATTGAGAAGACAGAATCAGAATGAAATGCATATCAGATTATTCACAGTTCTGCTTTAGTTCAAGGCACAGTGATCTACTGAGAGAAAGATAGACAAAGCTGGGATTAGAAGGCTCAAGTAGAGGATAAAGGCTCAGAATCACCACAGCGGGAAATGAGCCAGGCAGTCAAGTTGCTTGCTGGGGAGAACTGAGGGCTAGGCTGAAGTTAAAGTGCGCTATATATACATGTTGTAGTCGACTGCCGTAACTGTGTGACTTTTCTGGGATGTACCAGAGAGATGACTATAATTAATAAGGGTTGGCCATTGGCAAGGCAGATATGTCAAAAGGGCATAAAAGATCCTAAGACCCATCACTGAAAGGTATGTCCATGGGTCTAGGCTGGGTAGAAAATAAACCAAATCAAAAGGGTTAAAGGCCAAAGGAAACATAAAGAGGCTAAGGAACACAAAGTTACAAAGAAGGTGAAAAGTGGAATGATAATAATGGGCAGAATGTGATGGAGATATGTATAAAATTTTATCTCTTAGTTTCTACTTTGATGGTTTTTTAAAAAAATTATTTCAGGTGTATCCCTCTAAAATGGCATGTCCAAATAGAAGAAAACTATACTTTAAAGTGAAATAAGACACGTACGCCCTGTTAGAAACTCTGAACAATCTCACAAGGTCACCTTGTATAGAATGAGGGAGTGGGAAAAGTAGAATGACAGAAGGGTCTGTCTAGAGAGCACAGAACTGCAGTAATAAGTTTCATCTATCAATGACCAATAACATCACAGACTGAGTCGTAGTAAGACCAAAAACAGAAACTAACAAGCCTAGTTCCCAAGCCTCAACTTTTAACATGTTTTCTAAGAACAATTTTTAAAATAAAATTTCATACAACATTTCTGATTATGAAAGTAACATATATTCATTATAGGAAGTTTACAAAATACAGAAATTTCTACCTGTTCCCTGTAGCATGTTACTACTAGGTGCTTAAACACCTTAGACTATAGGTTGGCAATTTTTTTTCTGTAAAGAACCAGACAGTAAAGATTTTAGGCTTTACAGACTCAAAAGGTTCTATTGCAATGACTTGATTCTGCCCCCTCTGCATCTATTGAGATGACTGTAGTGTTTGTCTTCTTTAGTCTGTGAATGTGGTGAATTACACTGACTTATGTTCAAATGTTGACTGAGAAAGCAGCAACAGACGATATTTTAAAGAATGGATATGGCTGTGTGTCAATAAAACTTTATTTACAAGAACAGGTGGTAGGTTAGGTTTGGTTCTAGAGCTGTAACTTGTCAACCCCACCTTAGACTACTTTATGAGATTTAGAGTTAAATATTTGTCAAATGAAATAAACTAGCAGTTTGTTTAGTTTATTACGTTCCAGGTACTGTGCTAAAAGCTATAGATGAAAAGACATTACCTGAGCTTAAAGGCTATCGGGGAAACACATGCAGTACATTAGATGAGACTGGGAGCGTTCAGGGTGGTACGGCCGTAGACCACATGCAGCACATTTAAAAGGGAGGTGGGAAAAAAAATAATAATAATAAAAGGGAGGTGGGAAACAAAGAAGAAAAAGAAGTAAAGTGGTCTGCAAGGAAAAAAGGAAGGCTTAACAGAGAAGAAAGCACTTGACCTGAGACTTGTAGGGCTTTGTCTTAATGCATCTTTTAATGAAAAATTAATTTTTATAACATTTTATGTTTGAGCACAAGCTTACCTTGGAATAAGAAAGTGCTATTTGTTGAAACACAGCATCATCTGGTGATTTACTATATGTGGCAATGCCTTGTTCATCATCATCAAAAGGATAGTTAACCACCAAAGTACCTATAAGGGAAATGAGGAAAATGTACTGGGTTATTTCTTGCAAGATGGAGCATTAACAGAAAGTAAGCTTTTCACAATACTGCGAGGGACAGGACAACCAATGCAATTTTCCAAGACTAATTTCCTCAATAGAAATTAAAAAGTTGCTAATTTCCTTGAAAGAAAATCAAAGCAGATAAATAAAATATTAGTATTAAACAGCTGTGCATGACACTTACAGGCTGCGTTAACTGGAAAGGTCTTGGGCGTTCACCTGAACTCACAGGCATAATCTACACATTAGAACTGAAATCAGAAGTATACAGGCTTAATTAAACAATTTCACTTTTGTAATACTAAGGATCAGAAAATGTGAGCAAAACTTGATTTTTTTTTGTAAATTCAGACATTTATAAAGCTCAAAGAATTTTAAAATAAGAAAGAACTCTTGAAGTCCAGTTAACCCACCCTCTTTGTTTTGTAGATGTGGGTCTAAATTGGAGATGCTAAACAACTTATGTTATGGATAGGAGAACTAGTCTTGACCTTCACCCAGAAACAAATGCTAAAAATTTCTTTTATGCTCATGTTATAAATTTGTCAACTGGAGTTATATCATATGGCTTTTTCATGACCTAAAGTACAGAGAGTGTGTTTTAAAACATATAGAAAGGATGACAACTTCCTCCATTGTACCCGCAGGAAATGAAACAATTAGGATGCTTCTCTGGCAGGAGCCGTGAGCTTACTCCCCCACCATAGAATCAAATCCCTTATCTTCCTATTATTCACATCAATTTCATTTGTCCATGTGTCCATTTATTCTGCCTTTATTAGGCCACTCATTTTGCCTTTTTTGTCATGCCACTTCCTGCATGTGGAAGTGAAGGAATATACTCAACTTGAATCCAGATGAAGTAATCCTGTGGTAACAAATACCAGCAGACATTCATCTGTTTTAAAAAATTGTCTTTAAGAAACAAGTATGAACACTCATTTTATTTCTCAAAACAGTTCTAATAAGGTAAGTGTACTTCAACACTTGTTTTTATACAAATTACTCCAAAAAATTCTTTAAATTTCACCTTGAATTGATGACTCAGGTTTAAAAATTACAACTGAAAAAAGTCAACTTCTACTTAATATTGCCTTTCAAATGGTTAATTTTATAAGACCCCCCCAAAAAATGTCATAAAAGACTTAGGATATCCCTATAAAAGTTTATTTTTAAAATTAGTATCAACACAAAAAGCATGAGCTTTTTACAAAATTTACAAAAAGATGACTTCATCAATATTTTAAAAAATGTGCATTAGAGGTCATTAAAAAAGTTAAAATATAGCCTATAGAATGGGAGAAAATATGTGCAAATAAGCAATTTGATAAGGGTCTAGAGCCCAGACTATGTCAAGAAATCCTGCAACTCAACAAAAAGATGAAAAACCCAATTAAAAATGGGCAAAAGACTTGAACTGGAATTTCTCAAAATAAGATATATAAATGACCAAGAAGCACACAAGAACATGCTCAATATCATTAGTCATCAGGGAAATACAAATCTAAATTTCAGTAAGATACCACCTTTCAGCCACTAAAATGGCTGCAATAAAAAAAACACAAATTAACAAGGTAAGTAAGGATGTGGAAAAACTAGAACCCTCATATATTGCTGATGGGAACATAAAATGGTTCTGCTACTGTGGAGTAGTTTGGCAGTTCATCAAGAAGCTAAACATGGGATTACCATATGATGGCATTTCCATCAAAAAGCCAAACATAGGTTAACCCCAAAGAATTGAAAACAGGGAATCAGATATTGTATGCCAATGTGCACAGTAGTATTATTCGTAACAGTAAAAAATAAAAACAACCCAAATATCCATCAACAGATACATAGATAAACAAATTATGGTATATACCTACAATGGAATCTTATTCCATCATAAAAAGAAATAAAGTACTAATACATGCTACAACAAGAACGATCTTTGAAAACATTATGCCAAGTGAAAGGAGACAGACACAAAGGGTCATATATTGTATGATTTCGTTTCTATGAAATATCCAAAATAGGCAAGTCCATAGAGACAGAACGTGGATTGGTGGTTACCAAGGGCTTGTGGGGCATGGGGATAAGAACAAGTGCTTCATGGGTAAGGGGTTTCCTTTTCAGGAGATGAAAATATTTTCTAACAAAATAGAGGTGGTTATGGCACAAAATTGTGAACGCACTAAATGTCACTGAATTATTTACTTTAACATGGTTATTGTGATATGAATTTCACCTAAATAAAAATTAATATAAAATTTACAAAAGGAAATCTTACTTTTCTCTAAATTCTTTCAAAATCCTTCTAAATTGTTAAGTTGGCAGCAAAGAATTCCTCTGTTAAATTTCTTTGCCAGGATTTCAAAACTCATTTAAAGATTTTAAAGATGAGAAAATGAAATATGTCATGGAAAGAAACATATCTACATGATTAAAGATGTATCCTCACCATGCCAAGGTCTTGATACCACATGTGTACATATGTAAATTATTCTCACTGGAATGTAACTAGAATTATGTTTTCAGATTTAGTCAACATGACATTTGATGTATTCTGAGAATATTTTTAAAAGCTCAAAACAAAAAATATTTTCTGTCAAACATGGTATATAATCAATAAAGTAAGAAAAAAGCAAAAAAAAAAAAAAATTGCTAACCAGGCTGTAACTTCATAATTCCTATTTCGGTCTTTGAGAATTGTCCATGATTACCAGTTATAGAATATGTTTATCCTACTATTGGGAAACTTTCAAAGCCATTTTGGGGGAATCTTGATTTACTTCTTAAATATAAATATCCTTAAACATATATTGTCATTTCTAAAAAGGCAGGTTAATCTATACACCATCAAATTTCAACTGTGATACTTTCTTGTATAATCTAACAAATGTTGACAGTAAATTTCTTATCCATTGCCCCTGGTGTTAATACTTTTACTCTTTTTTTTTTTAAATTTACTAAGATATAATTCACATACTGTACAATCCATCCATTTAAGGTATAAAATTCAATGTTGTTCCATATATTCACAGGGTTGTACAACCATCCCTACTATCTAATTATAGAACATGTCATTACTTAAAAAAAAAAACAAAAACAAAATCCATACCCATTAGCAGTGACCCCTTCTCACCCACCTCTAATCTATTTTCTGTCTCTATGGGTTTGCCTACTTTTGAGTATTCATTAAAATGTAATCATATAACATATGGTTTCTTATGATTGAATTCTATCACTTAGCATGTTTTCAAGGCTCATTTATGTAGTAGCATGCATCAGTACTTCATTCCTTTCCATTGCCAAATAGCATGCAATTGCATAGCATATTTCCTTTAATCATCAGTCAGCCAACATTTGGGTTATTTTTATTTTGGTGATCATGAGTACTGCTATTAGGAACATCCTCACACAAGTTTGCATGTAGAGATACGTTTTTGGGTCTCTTGGGTATTGACACTTATTTACATAACCATGGCTGGACATTGTAATGATTTTTAATCTTGACCTCTCATCCTATTCAACTGATAAATTCCGGCTGAATGATATGGAAGTGTATAAGCTCAGGTATTACATAAGAATGAGGTCACTGTGTTGCAGTTAAATACACAGATGAAAGACAAGAGAATGTCAAAATCTAAACCTACATAAAAGGGCTTATTAAACTTTAGGGAGAAATAGAACTAAACATTTGGATCTGTTAGTGTTTAATTTTTATGAATGACAAAGAACATGTTACCAAATTCCCAGGAAAAGGGATAAATATAAAACATGTGTGAGGGATAAATATAAAACATTTGTTAGGGATAAATATAAACCACTTGAAGAACCAGGTGAGAGAGAATTGGAGGAAGGGAGAAGGAGGAAAAGGGAAGGAGGGGAGAGAGAGACAGAAAGAGGAAAGGGGCGGGGGTGATGGAAAGAGGGAGTACAGAGGAGTACGGGGACAGGGGAGGGGGCGGGAGGGGAAAACAGCCAGCAAATTGGCTTAAAAAGTAATGAGAAAAGACCTCTGTTGTTGTCTGCCATAAAAGCAATAACAGGATACCCACTTTAATAGAGCCTAAGACAATAAACATAAAATTCCACCAGGATTTTCAAATGCTCTCAACAAGAATTAATTAGTGGAATAGCAAACTGCTGTTACCTCCATGCAGGTTTGCTGAGAGCACAAATGGATAGGTCTTCATCCAGCTCATTACAGCAATAGTTTCTGGTTGGGTGGGCTCTGTGATCTGAACAAACTGGTCTGGGAAATTCCGGTTCAGGTCAAAGTTGTTGCTGTTGTTTCTGCCAATTACACTTACTGGATCTCCTGTATGATAAAAGATTCAAATGTAAGCTACATTTCACTTACATTTTAATCCAGCACAAACGATTTCAGCTATCTTAACTCAAAGCTAAGTGTGAACACATCAGGCTTCACTATGATCAAACACACTACAACTGAAAGTGAGCAGGACCCTGTGAGGCCTTCCCAGGTACAAAAGCTCCTCTGCATGCCCTGATTCTTGTTTGCAGAAAAAAGACTTTCATTTCTGAGGTCTTCCCTAAGATCCACAAGCAATGACTAATTAGGGAAGTGAGGAAATTCTGCCTTTCATCATATTTTGAGGGGGGAAAAAGCCCAATCATATGAATTATATGAAAATATTGCTCAATTGTCAATAATCCACATACAACAATGTGATCACAGTATTAAGTGGGCAGGACTGATATGAGGGGGATTTTATTGTACTGATATATAGGTCACTAAACAAATTAAAAAAAAAAAACCAGACCAAATGAAAAGAAAAAAGTTGCAGTACGCTTATATTAAAGTGATCACTATTAAAAGGTAAAGTTAGTCAAGAACACAGTTGGAAGTTTAACCTGATGGAAGAGAAAGAGTTCAACTTGAGCTTATTCCATTTTACTAAGGGATAAGAAAATGAATGCAAGTGAGTGAAGAAAGTCTACTAGAGGGCTCACTAGTAGGAAGTATGAGTTCCATCTTTCAGAAAGATCTCAGGGGAGGAATGTGGAAGGGATTTGGGAGGCTGACAAAGAATGAGGTCCTTAAGAAAAGAATCTAAATAATATACATATATAAAGATTAACCTAGTCATTCACTAATTGATTCTCTCAGTGTTCAATCAGTGCCAGTAACAAACCATGTGGCTGTATATTTATATTGTGGGATCTGTTCTATTCACTGGTATCACTGTCTGGAAGGAACCACAGGTTAGGAAAAGATGGATTCTTACTCTGCAGTGTTCTGCATCAGGTGGCCCGTGTAAAAAAATTGCTCTCCTTGCCCCTACTGTGATGCCCAGCAGAGATGGGCTAGTCCAGGGAAGGCAGAGGAATGGGAAATCAGTAACTTAGCAGGTTTAGACTACATATACATGCAGAGTAGAACTGGGAGTCAAAAAAAATTTGGTTTGAGTTTTCACTTATTAGATAAGGTTCCCAACAAAATAATTTAACAAAAATTAATGTTAAAATGGAGCAATTTATCAAAATCTTACATTTTAGTACATAAGAACCATTACCAAAGTGGAGACTTCATTAAATATAAACTTGATGGCATAATTATTGAATAAACTAGCCTATCTTATAGAAAACAAAAGCTAAAACCAATGATAAATTATAAGAATAAAACAGGAAGAAATTTTAGGGAAACAACCAGTTCAGATTATTTTCTATGCTCAAGTAATTATGCCATATGATAAACAATGAACATGAGTCTGAGCAAACTCTAGGAGATGGTGAAGGACAGGAAAGCCTGGCATGTTGCAGTCCATAGGGTCACAAAGAGTCAGGCGTGACTTAGCAACTGAACTGAATTGAACTGAACTGAATGATAATCAAAATGATTAAGCATTAATAGATAGCTATTGTTTACCTTCCTGGGCCTTTTCATACCCATCAGGATTCATGGATGGCATAAGGTGAATTCTAGTGTTAAGAACCAAATCTGTTACTTCAGGATCTGTGCCAAAGTTCTTACAAAGGTATTCGATGAGGTTCAGTAGCAATTCTCTTCCAACCACTTCATTTCCATGCATATTTCCAATGTATTTAAATTCTGGTTCACCTGAAAACAGAATTACATGGAAGACCTTTTTTCCTCTTCATTCATCCTAGACTTGCTCACTTTTCACCCAATACACAAAGACCTTGAACCAAAAATTTAAACTATATTTTCACAAAAGAAACAGGAAAAAGCATCTTATAAAGTAGTTTCGTTACTACTACATGTCAGATAGCAAGCTCAAAGTAAACATATATTATATACATATGAATATGTATATATACACATAAGGCCTTCTCTGGTGGCTCAGTGATAAAGAATCTGCCTGCCAATGCAGGAGACACAGGTTTGATTCCTGGGTCAGGAAGATCTCCTGGAGAAGGAAATGGCAACCCACTCCAGTGTTCTTGCTTGGGAAATCCCATGGACAGAGGAGCCTGGTAGGCTGCAGACCATGGGGTCGCAAGAGTCAGACACGACTTAGGGACTAAATGACATATATATATATACATACATACATACATACATATATCATATGCTACAAAAATAAAAATACTATTAGCTGGAAGAATCCAACCTATGTGTGTAGTATGCTAAATATGCTGCATAATATGTAAGTTGCTCAGTTGTGTCTGACTCTCTGTGACCCCATGGACTATAGCCTGCCAGGCTCTTCTGTCCATGGAATTCTTCAGGCAAGAATACTGGACTGGGTAGCCATTCCCTTCTCTAAGTGATCTTCCCAATCCAGGGATTGAACCCAGGTCTCGGTCTCCCACATTGCAGGCAGATTCTTTATCATCTGAGCCACCAGGGAAGCCCATGGTGCATAATATGGATTATCAAATGGATTTTTTTTTTCCTAGCAGAAGATTGGTCCCATTTTCTTTGATCCAGTTATAAATACTACAGGTGACCTTTCTAGATGAAGCAAAGAAATATAGCCCACAGCTCTGAGAAGCAATACTGAAATTATGTGTGAAACTACACCAATTACCTGGTTCATGGACACCTGGGTTATCAGATATCTCCATTACATAAAGTTCTCTTGACTCTACTGATTTTCCCAAAGAATAAAGTCGGGTGATGTTAGGATACTCATTGGCAAACCTTCTCAGGAAGATTTCCATGTCAGGGAAATGGTGGTGGTGAAAGTCCTGTGGTTGAATTGGCTGGTGGGTGGACTGTGTACCAAGAGGACTATTAAGCGTTGCAACTGTGCTAGCTGTTACTACAGCCTCAGTCGCGTCAGGGATTACTGAAGCCACCGTCGGTCGTAGGGGAAAATTCACCTTTGTGGCTGGTCCTTCTTTCACTATGATATTATTAACAGTCAGTGGCATATATCTGAAAAGAAAAATTCGAAAAAGTAGATAGTAGGCTACTAAAAGTAGGCTTGGAGTTAAACTGAAACAGACAATGCTTGAACATTATAAAAGCACAACAGCCTTCTCATACTCTTGCACTGTCTCTCAAAAATCAAATCAAATCAAGAGAAATGTGCAAATTCAAGACTTTTAGGATATTATTTCACAAAGAATCTCAGATTAAGTCTTTAAAGAACTATTTCTCTTACCATCCTTTCGGGTTCCACACATTAGGATGCTTATAAAAAGTTATATTCAAAGAAGAGATGAAAAATAGAGGTAGTTGATCCATTTGTAACCATTCCTACAATACTCAAAGTAGGGATAAATGATCCGATTCTTTGTAGCGCCTTATCAAACTGACATTCCAACTACTTTACCAAATAGGAAAGTTCAAAATTGAAGGTAATTTATTTGCTACAGGTAAATCCTTAGCAAAATGAGGTCGTAGGTAACCACTCATTTTGTGTATTAGAAAGCTGATGGTAAGACAGCTCTTCAAAGTATCTTTTGTAGAGTCCTGAGTTTTTTCTACCCTGGTATTCAATTAGCCTTGAGCTTTTAAAACTCCTTCCTCCCAATTTTACAACTATGTTTCATATCCAGTTATATAGTTAATGTGACAAGACTCTACTGTAGTATTTTCTCATTACAAAAGGGGAAAAAAAATATCAGAAAACAAGGAAAAACAAAAGCCAGATATGGTAAGATCTCCCCAAATGTATTTCTGTCTAGATATAAACAGAAGTTGACATTTTAAGAGTCTAGTTTAAATTCTTATCTAGTTACATTTAGAGAAGAGCTAACATTCATCCTGCTCAAACTCTTTCAAAAAATTGCACAGGGAGGAACACTCCCAGAACTCATTTTACAACCATCACCCTGATACCAAAACCAGAAAAGGATATCACAGAAAAAAGAAAATTATAGGCCAATATCACTGATGAACATCGATGCAAAACTCCTCAACAAAATTCTAGCAAAGAGAATCCAACAACACATTAAAAGGATCATATACCATGATCAAGTGGGGTTTATCCCAGGGATGCAAAGATTCTTCAATATACACAAACCAATCAATGTGATACACCATATTAACGAATTGAAAGGTAAAATTCATACCCAGTTAAAACTGCTGTAATGTTATAAGTTCCAGGAACAAGTAATCTGTGGAAATCACCAAATCTTCCTGTTGTGATATTATGATTAATACCAGCCACTGAGATAGTTGCATTCTCTAAGCCAGCTCCTGTTACTGAATCTGTAACAAATCCTTTAACACCAATGTGGACCTAGAAAAACAAGAATCAACATGGACTGCTCAGAGAGAGTCAATTTGGAAGGCAAGAGAGAATAGCCTCTCTGCACTGATGCTAGAATTTCTCAAAAATAAAGTTATTCCTCTAGCCCTCTGAAACATTTTTCAATCCTTCCAAGTTTAAATAAAATACAGACCAAAAAGATTAAATCCTGAAACTTAAGTCATATGAAACCTAGGCTGGTAAAGTACTTTTGAAATTCCCTCATCTCAAAGCTAGACTTCTGCTTTTCTCAACGAGATACAATTTATAATGTAAGCATGCGTGCATGCTAGGTCACTTGAGTCGTGTCCAACTCTTTGAGAACCTACGGACTGTATCACGTCAGGATCCTCTGTCCATGAGATTCCAGGCAAGATTACTAGAGTGGGTTTCCATGCCTTCCTCCGGGATCTTCCCAACCCAGGGATGGAACCCGTGTCTCTTAGGTCTCCTGCATTGACAGGCGGGTGCTTTAGCACCACCCGGGAGGCCTCAATTTCTGATACATGCAATAGTATATTAGCCTGCCTGATAATTAAGTTAAACTTATGTTGTGGTTCATATGGTGGTAAAGGTTCTCTAGCAAATATGATCACATGGTGTTGTAAGAATCTGGTAATACAACTTTTGCTAATTATTTATTTATTTGCTAATTATTTCAAGTTGTAGAAGTGTTGTAAGATAGTCAAAGGAAGCTCTCCAGAGGAAGAGAGCTCAGGGGAAGGGAAATGGAGGTTTAGAGTATGTTCTGATAGATTCTAATACTTTCTAAAGATTATCTATCATCTTAAATAATAAAAAAAGACAATGGGTATCTAGCATAGACTTATCCACATATACAAATTTCCCCCCATTCAATCAATTATTTCCATACCCACCCTTCCATATAGCTGCTTTTACCTTTTCAATCAGCGTGATCAAAGACTCACGATTGTTCTCCCATTCTTGCCGAAGCTGTGAAGCAGGTGGGTACTTGCAACAGGATAGTTCTAACGTGATCTCAAAACAGTTGGCCCATACATAATTATAATCTTGCATACCACCTGAAACATGGAAGAAAAAGTAAGTTTATTCTCAGGATTCTACTCTCAAAAAGACCAAAGCCATCTCTGCCTATATAAACTCTCTTTCATTAAGCTGTTTGAAATCAGAGAAGGCTCTTGAATTATAGAGGAGACTAACAAGGAAGGTAAAAGGAATACACACTGGAAAGGAATATATATAAAGGAAATGTATCTGATTGACAGGTAAACAGTTATAAAGAGCATGAATATAACAGTTAATAATAACAGTAATAATGATGACAGTTCTATATTTGAATGTTTACTATATGCCAGTGTTACTGAGTCCAAGTTCCCTCTGCTCTTTCTGCCACATGACAGGCCAAAGTTGAGGCAAGGAATACAACTTTATTTGAAGAGCTGGCAGACTGAGAAGATGGCACATTAATGTCTCAAAATAACCATCTTGATGGGGTCTGGACGCCAGGTTCTCTTACAGAACCAGAGATGCGGTGAGGAACTAAAGTCAAAAGGCACAATAAAGAGGGACAGGCAGTGAGGAAGTAAAGTTTTTAAAAAGGGCCATCAGTCTTGCAAAGTATCCCTAGGAATGGGCCAGCCAGTGAAAGGGATGTGTTCATTTCTGTGGACAGGGTCAGATTATCTGACAGGGTCAGAGCTGAACAAAGGCACTTACAGTTGTTTTTTTTTAATTTGAGATTTTATTCATTTATTTATTTTAATTTTTTGGCTGTAGTGGGTCTTCATTGCTGCACATGTGCCTTTTCTAGTTGCAGCAGACAGGGGCTACTCTCTGTTGTAGTGCCCGGGCTTTTCATTGCAGTGGTGTCTCTGGTTGTGGAGCATGGGCTATAGGCACTTGGACTTCAGTAGTTACGGAATGTGGGCTCAGTAGTTGTGGCTCATGGGCTCGAGAGTAAGTGCTATCCCAGTAGTGGTGCACAAGCTTAGTTGCTCCAGGGCATGTGGGGTCTTCCTGGATCAGGGATCAAACCAGTGTCTTTGCTTTGGGATTCTTAACCACTGGGATGCCTGGTACTTTAGTTTAACAGTCAGAAAGAGGGACAGGGTCCTTTGAGGCAGGTCAGTATGTATGATTATAGTAACAAAAGCAACAAAAAGCAAGTCAAAGAAACAGTTTCAACAAGGAGTCAGAATTGGTTCTTCTCTGCAACCCAGCTCTGTTCTATGACCTTTACGCATATTAACATTTAGTCTTTACAACAACGTTATGATGCAGGTATTGCTATTTCACCCATTTTACAGATGTGAGAAAAGTAAGGCACAGAGAGGTTAAGATTTCTGACAGAATGAACATGAAAGATACTCAAGTGATCTTCAAGTTATGAAGGTCATTCATGTCAAAACATTATTAAGGGTCTACTATTCTAACTGTACTCTTCTCTACCACAAAGGTGACAATAAGGGTCTGAATCAAAACGGTAGAGCAGAGGGACCCCACCACAACTGAAAGGAACAAGCAGCCCACATAGGGAACACCCATGAAGTGTCTGGTCTGGATAGCCAGAGGGGAGCATGCTGCTGAGCCCATAGGACTTCTCCAAGATTGGGAGACATACAGACTTACTTTACACAAAGAAATCAACACAGAAAATCAGGCAAAATGAAGAGACAGAGGAACGGGCTCCACGAGAAAGACTAAGACAAAACCTCAGAAGACCACCTAAATGAAATGGAGATAAGCAATCTACCTGATGAAGAGTTAAAGGTAATGATCATCAAGATACTCACTGAAGAATGGATGAACATGGTGAAAACTTCAACAAAGAGTTAGAAAATATAAAAAAGGACCAATTAGGGCTGAAGAATACAATAAATAAAATGAAAAAATACACTAGAGGGAATCAACAGTATTATATACAATGGAATATTATTTTTAAACTTTTAAAATTATATATATACAATGGAATACTACTCAGCCATAAAAGGAACACATTTGAATCAGTTCTAATGAGGTAGATGAACCTAGAGCCTATTATACAGAGTGAAGTAAGTCAGACAAACAAAAACAAACATCATAAACTAATACATATATATGGAAACCAGAATGGTGCTAATGAACCTATTGGCAGGGCAGCAATGGAGATGCAGACATAGAGAACAGATAGGTAGACATGGTGGGGGGCGAGGAAGGAGAGGGTGGGAAAAATGGGCAGACCAGCATGGAAACATATATACTACCATATGTAAGGTAGAAAGGCAGTGGGAATTTGCTATATAACCCAGGCAGTTCAAATCGGAGCTCTGTGACAACCTAGAGGGGTGGGATCGGGTGGGAATTGGAGAGAGGTTCGAGAGACGGGACATTGTGTATACCTATGGTTGATTCATACCGATGTGTGGCAGAAACCAACACAATATTGTAAAGCAATTATCCTTCCATTAAAAATAAATAAAATGTTTTTTTAAAAAAGATGATGGAAAAAAAAATACACTACAGGGAATCAACAGTAGACTAGATGATACAGAATACTAAGATCAGTGATCTGGAAGACAGAGTAGAGAAAAATTACCCAAGCTAAACAGGAAAAAGACAAGTGAGGAGAGTTTAAGTGACCTCTGGGACAACAGCAAGCATACTAACATTTACATTATAGTGTCTCAGAAGGAGAAGAAAGATAAAAAAAGAACTTATTTGAAGAAATAGTAACTGAGAACTTCCCTAACCAGTGGAATGAAACAGATATCCAGTCCAGGAAGCACAGACAGTCCCAAACAAGGTGAACTCAAAGAGGTGCAATCCAAGACACATTATATTTAAAATGCCAAAAATTAAACATAAAGAGATTCATAAAAGCATCAAGAGGAGAAACAACTAATTACATACAAGGAAACTCCCATAAGACTATAAGCTGACTTTTCAGCCAGTAGCAAATGACACAATATATTCAAAGTGCTGAAAAAAATACAACCAAGAATATCCAGCAAGGTTATCATTTGAAGGAGTGATAAAGAGTTTGACAGATAAACAAAAGCTAAAGGAGTTTATCACCAATAAACCAGCCCTTCAAGAAACATTAAAGGGACTTCTACCAGCAGAAAAGGTCACAATTAGAAATAAGAAAATGATAAAAGAGACAAATCTCAATGGCAGAGACAAACATATAGAAAAGATAGTGGATCAACCACTTATAACATTAGTAGAGAGGCAAAAGTAAAGAGGTAGAAGATGAAAGTTGTAAAATCTATTACTATCTTCCAAAATAGTTGTACTGTTTTGCACTCCCATCAATAATGAGTGAGAGTTCCTGTTGCTCCACCTCTTCACAAGCATTTGCTGTTGTCAGTGTTCTGGACTATGGCCTTTCTGATAGGTGTGTAGTGGTAACTTGTTTTAATTTACATTTCCCTGTTGACATATGATGTGGAATCTTTTCATGTTTATTTGCCATCTGTATATCTGTTGGTGAGATGTCTGTTAGGTTTCTGGCCCATTTTTTTTTTCTTTTATGCATATCTTCCTGTTTTCTTTCTTTTTTTTTTTTCATTTATTTTTATTAGTTGGAGGCCAATTACTTTACAATATTGTAGTGGTTTTAAAAATATGGAACGCTTCACGAATTTGCGTGTCATCCTTGCGCAGGGGCCATGCTAATCTTCTCTGTATTGTTCCAATTTTAGTATATGTGCTGCCGAAGTGAGCACTTCTGGCCCATTTTTAAATGAGGCTGTTGTTTTATTAGTGTTGAGTCTTAAGTGAAAGTGAAAGTCACTCAGCCGTGTCCGACTCTTTGCAACCCCATTGACGATACAGTCTGTGGAATTCTCCAGGCCAGAATACTGGAGTGGGTAGCCTTTCTCTTCTCCAGGGGATCTTTCCAACCCAAGGGTCAAACCAAGGTCTCCCACATTGTAGGAGGATTCTTTACCAGTTGAGCCACAAGGGAAGCCCAAGAATACTGGAGTGGGTAGCCAATCCCTTCTCCAGCAGATCTTCCCGACCCAGGAATCGAACTGGGGTCTCCTGCAATACAGGCGGATTCTTTACAAACTGAGCGATCAGAGTTTTTTAATATATTTTAGATAATAGTCCTTTATCAGATGTAATTGCCTTCTTTTTTTAGGCTGAATAACATTCCACTGGATATATATACCACATTTTCTTCATTTATCTGTCAATAAACATTTAGGTAGCTTCTTGGCAACTGCGAATAACACTGCAGTGAACATGGGTGTACAAATTTTCAAGATCCTTTTTTCAGTTCTTTTGTATTTATACCCTTAAGTGAGATTGTTGAATTATACGGTAATTCTATTTTTAACTTTTTGAGGAAGCTCCATACTGTTTTCCATAGCAACTGCACTATTTTATATTCCTACCAACTGTGCAAAGGGATTGAAATTCTCCACAACTCCATCAAACTTGCTATTTTAATTCGGCTTTTTTTTTTTTAAATAGTGATCATCCTAAGAGGTAGAAGAGAGGTATCTCTTTGTGGTTTTGATTTTGTTTTTCCCTAATAATGATAGTAAGCATCTTTTCATATGTGTGCTGGTCATTGATTTTTTTTTTTTAAAAATGTGTATTCAAGTCCATTGTCCATTTATTAATCAGATTACTTGTTTTCTGTTGAGTTGTATTCTGAATATTAACCCCTTATCTGATAAACAGTTTGCAAATATTTTTCAGTAGGCTGCCTTTTCACTGTTGATTGTTTCCCTTGCTGCATAGAACATTGCAGGACTTTGAGCAGAAGTGTGATATAATCTGAACTGCTGGGTGAAAAATGATGGTAGAGGAACAAAACAAAAAAAAAAGCAGGGAGATGAATTAGAAGAGAATGATGGTTTCAACTAGGCTGCTGGTAAAGGAGATGAAGCAGAGAGATCTGGCTGTGAGAAAAGATTTGTTTAAAAGGAATCAAGGATGACTTCCTGATTTCTGGCTTGAGAAACTAGGAAGACAGTGTCATTAGTGTCATTAACTGAGAGGATGAAGGAGTACAAAGGAAACAGATATGGCAAGCCTAAGGTTTTGTCTTTGGTCCTCTTCTCTTATT